TAAAGCGTTTGATACGCGCGACATTTTTGAGTACTCCTGCAAGCGATGTTCATGAACGATGAAAACAAACGGCACAGACAAGCGATTAAAATTGCAAGAGAGACTACTAACAATCAAAAAAAGAAATATAATTCGGTGAAACATTTACAGAGATAACAATTTTCATTCATGAAGACAAGTATTAAAGTGTCTCTAAAAATCCTGAGTCTCGGCGTAAAGCTTTATAAGCCGGCTTCCCGGCGCGGGTGTTTACTGTTTTCCAAGGTGAACTCCTCGAAGCAAGAAAATCGCTCAAAGTTTTCTTTCTACAGCCAAATTTATAACTAAATATTCTTCGGAACGTTTTCTTTCTATCTGTGGTGAGCAAATATATCTGAAGGCTTTTTAAAGTTCTGTAAGCTTATATCAAACCGTTCAAACCTGATACTAGGTCAGATCATTGACTCAAACTACGGCTACAAACGTGCATAAACTTGCCGCATAAACTGTCAGCGTGAATGTGCAAGACTTCATGAAATTAGATATAACAAAAACAAACATCAAATACAATAGTTACTCAGGCTTACCATTCGAGATTCAGTTCCTGAAAGCTATCAAGGAAGGCCACAGTTGCTTGAGACTTTTAAACCCTCTTAAGCATTAAGCAAGGTGAAAAACGAAAACGATGCCATCCGAAATCGAATTACCAAATTTTGACAAGCGACGCGTTCCTCAACCAAAAACCCAGTAAACAAACCAGCCATGAATAACAGAAGACTCTTGATAGCAGCTGTATTTCATTTTGTACATCCAGAAGAAAAAGACAGTTAAAAACATCACAAGTTGACACAAAACTCTTCAGCTTCAGCTGTCAAAGTAAACAATTTTCAAGATGCTGCATAATTTTTTCGCATGAACTCACCTGTCAAATTTTGACCAATCAGAGTATAAAAATTGGACGTAGAGCGTGACCAACGCGTGACCATGGTAAGATAAGGTCTTCCCCGCCTGTACTTTTAAAAAAACTGGCTGAATTTTCGCTTCCGAAGTCAGTTTGAAATCAAAATTCTAATAGTGCGGGGCCATAGTGACATAAACACAACATATTTGATATGAATCCTTGGAAAAAATAAACTTGAGCCTGCGATCATTTCAAACTGGTAATTTGTCAGCGGATAACTTCAAAAAATACTCGACCTCGATGGGTCGACACTTGAGCCCGCGCTACGGTCAGGTGATACTGGTCAGCGGATGCCCTGTTTTGACAGCTGTCAATTGATCACAACATTGATGTGAAATTAGTTTTCTCTTGGGCTCCCAAACTAGCTAAAATGTGAGAGTAAACATTGGTTTTCCTGTGGTGCGGACGGACGGTCGGTCGGCGGTCGGCGGTCGGTGTACGGTCACGTGATTACCAAATTTTCTGGGATGGGTAGATTTACTTAGCAATGGGGCTCCGCCCACGCGCGCGCTTCGCGCGCGTGGAGCTCCGCTATTAAAAGTTATGACCGTTTGTATCAACACGTATGCGAGCTAACGTACCGTATTTATTCGAATAAGCGCCCAACCTCAAATTAGCGCCACCTCGAACAAGCGCCCAAGGCAGAAAAAGTTAATAAGCGCCCAGCCTCGAATAAGCGCCCACCCCCTCCTCCTCCCAATCAAACTCAAATAAGCGCTCACCCCCACCACACCCACTTGAGAGAATAAATTCTAATAAGAGACTTCCCCGAGGACGGAGTTTTCTTCAGAGTATTTTACAGAAACCTTGCTTTGTTACTTCTTCACGTTTCGTTATTAGCACTTATTGTTTTGTTGCAAAATAAACATACTTCACTTGCTAAAAATGGTGTAAATTTAATAAGCGCCCAGCCTCGAATAAGCGCCCACTCTCAAGGTCCAAAAATTTAATAAGCGCCCAGGGCGGTTAATCGAATAAATACGGTATTAGCAACAACTTTGGTGCCCACAAAAGCTTGACGTAAGTAAGTCGCGCAAACAAACTTTCCTTAATCGTTAACATCAATTTTCGATAAAAGGGATTGTTGCCACAGTGAGGCTACTCTTTCCTTTCCTCCCACGCAGGCGTTAGGTGAGTCGTATTTCCTCCTTCCCCTAAATACGACTGCGTAAAGCCTGTTAGTTTTCAACCACCATCAATTTACTGTTAGAAACAGGTGACGTTGGGTTTTCCAGTTTTGATATCTTATACTTGAAATGCGCTCATAGATGTGGCGGAGATTCTATTTTCGCGGGAAAATAAACTGAGGCCTAGTATGGCAGTTGCTGGTAAATCTCACATATTCCCTGGATTAGGTTACAATTATAATAAGAAAAAATATATATTTTTTATAGTTTTAGAGAGAACGAAGTTTAAGCCCAAGTCTTGGGTCCCGTTATGATACATCAGATATGAAGGCAGTTTATTAGAGTGTATTCGTAGATGTTTCGGAAAATTGGTGGGTCTAACACTTTCAGTAACAGGTCCAAAATTTTCTCCGATCTTCAAACATGGCAACGATTGTTAACGAAAGGGAATTCCGCCAACGGCTGTGACACTTCAGCCGACAAACATGACGCAGAATTTGGAGATTGGTGAATACAGTTGAACCTCGAACCAAAATCGATTTCCGCTGGATTTCCGTCATACATATTACTGTAATTTTACCGTCGGTAACTTGAACCCTCGATAACTCTAACCTACCGCTTACTCGAAGTAGTTTTTGTTTCCCCTCAGATCATTTCTATATAATTTTAGCCTTGATAACTCGAACCATGTTTTGAGCCCTTTACCGTATTTATTCGAATAAGCGCCCAACCTCGAATAAGCGCCCATCCTAAAGGCAGAAAAAGTTAATAAGCTCCCAGCCTCGAATAAGCGCCTACCTCGAATAGGCGCCCACTCTCAAAGTCCAAAAATTTAATAAGCGCCCAGGGCGGTTAATCGAATAAATACGGTAATTATAAACAGTCGGGCAAAAGAACAGTCTACTGGCATTCGAAACATTGAACTTTGAATTTCCCATTTACGTGTTGTATAGTTTACTAGTGGAGGCTGATGTTGTTTGCCACAAATCTAAGAATGTGAAACAGCTTTTTATTACTACAGTCAACTCTCTCATAGCGACCACTTCTCGTAAGCGACCAGCTTCACAGAGACTGTACAGCACTGAAACTAAACATTTAAAAACTACTTCACAAGTGGTGACATTACAAAATCGTAGACTTCTTTATTACTTTAATCCACACAATGGCTGAATTATATTGAAGTTGTATAAGTCGTCACCAGGTAAATCCTTCAGCAAGAAGAATATAAACTAAACAAAAAACCTAATATTTAATAGTCAATAACTGCAAGAACCTAATTAATTTAACAATAACCTGTACGCCAATTAGCTCTTTAAACACGTGCAATTAGCTCCCTCTGAACCATAATGAGCATATTTTAAGTGAAGATGTTTTTGTGACCAATGGTTATACTCATAAGCAAGACACGACAAATGTTGGGTTGTACACTCATGTCCATGCGCGACCGAAGTGACCTTGAACAGCGTAGTGAACACGGAGTTGCTGCGTGGCAAAAACCGATCGAGTGATTTTGTATATCAAGCTCAAATGTGCGAGGATTACTAATATTGCTAACTCTTTCGATAATAAAAGATGTTATTTTAATAGTTAAATCAGATAATGATAAGCCTGCATAAATGAGGCAAAAAATGTAACTGAACAAAGTTCCGCCAATTCTAACTGACTCAGTAATACCTCAACTAGTAATAGTTGACACTACAGCTGCCCCCGTTCTGTATATTGTCGGTCAATAGTATTCTTGCTGGTTGTGTAGCTCTTTGAAATATACCGAATCATAATGAAGATTTTCACACATATTCCATACAATGAAATAAATACAGGAAACGCAAGGTTCAATGCACAGTTTCAGCTCGATTTACACAGCTTTCTTCTCAGTTTCGAGAGTTTATTCTAAACCATCATAAAAGATTTAATTAGAAGTTGAATTTTTCGCTATTTCTCTTTCCCTTTTTAAAAGGACGTTTGATCGATTCACGCCAGCGCATTCTAGTCTTACTTGAAACTATATAACGGAAGGACATCTGTGAGCAGGAAATAAGTCAGCACAGAATTTGCTTGTCGGCGAATTTCTGTAAATGTCCATCAATCTGCTAGTGATAAGCTAGCCGTTGTCAAAGAGAAAGAAAGAGTGTCTGGCAAGGTTTCCAATATAAATCAAAGATTTGTGAACTCGTGTCTGGCAAACTCTCCAAGTGTTTACTGATATATACACAGTTAAACGCACCTTATAACCTCTCCTGCGCTTAACGAGTGTCTTCTGGTCCATAACTTTCAAAACAACTGCACCACAGAATGTCACTGCGTAACGCAAAAGAGTATCGAAGTGTGACAGCACAATAAATGTCACAAAATCTACCTAAGCGGTCCCTTCGGGATTTTCTGTCTTTACGTCATCCTAACCATTTCGTACTTGCGGGCGCAAACAATAGAAACGTAATTATTACCTACCGATTCCTCGCGGCCCCAGTTCGAGCAAATCGAGATTTTTTCTAGTATACTGACTGTATATTTGAACTGGAAGTACTGTCCTTAATATACGCGCGAGTTACTGGGGTGCCCCCGCAGGGATTTCGCCTCTGGGCGAAATCCCTGCGGGGGCAATAAGAGAAGACTGGCTCCTGTTTCTGATAAAGCAAGTTTTTCTGGCTCCGTTATTCTCCCGTATCACGACTATATCAGCGAGTAAATGATCTGATAATGACAAAAACCTCCATGAGGTGTTCATTCAAAACTGTCGAAGAAGACTTCTCCGGTGGTTTTATTTTATTTCTGTCTTTCTGGTACTCGTCAAGGTGGCAACCCCGGAAAGGTTTTGTGCGTTTCCTCCGAACCACGAGGCGATAATATAAGCGGCATTTGCTGCACCAATGTACTTAAAAGTCGTCATGTTTCTCTCTTTCTTAATCTTATGTTTTGTCACCGGCTGTGGTTGACTAGAGTTGGGAGAGTTCGGTGTTGTTAGCGGACTTAGAGCTGTCCAACGATCTTGATTGGCGTTTTACTGAAAAGTATCTCAACGAAAACTGTACTCTCTGCGTCAGTGAGCTATTTTCAGACGAAGTGGAGTTTCTTCTTACCGAAACACCATGCAAGGCTATCCAAAAGTCGCGCTTGAAAAAAGTGTAGAGTAATGGATTCGTTGCCGATGTTATGTATCTAATAACTGCGAAAGCATTCGTAGCTTTCTCTATAGCTACGAAATCGTTGGACTTGGTATAAATCTTGATGTTAATAATTAACATGAGAGTGAAATACGGCAGCCAACAGCACAGATATATCGCCGCCATCAAAGCAAATACAAAGATACACTTTCGGTCGGTTTTGTTTTTCTTTTGTAGTCGCTGTTTGTGACCATGTTGTGATGGCCTCTTTCTACCGCTGACGACTTTGAACATCACCGTGTACGCGTACACCATAAATACATACGGGACCAAGAATACGAGAGCGAGGCAAAAGGAAGAATGAATGATAAGAGCAAGGCTTTTTGATTTGGCATTCCGCCAAGAGAGCGGTATTATAGCGATAAAAGCTGATGTGAACCAAATTCCCGCTAATACTTTGAACACTGCCTTTTTGGTGACTATATGATGTCTCAGTGGCTGAGCAATTGCCAGAAACTTTTCTGCAGTTATGACAAGAATGTGATAAGCTGCCGAAACAGCCGTAAGAGTGTGAAGAGCGTAGAACCAAAAGGCAAACTGATCAAACATCCGAGAAGGTACCACACTGAAAAAGGAAATAATGAAGTATGGAATATTTACTGCGCCTGTCAGAAAGTCGCAGACCGCTAGGCCAAGCAGAAGGTAATTAGACTTGATGCGCAGGCTCTTTCGTTTATAAAACAAGAAAAACACTAGTCCGTTTGTAACAATTATTGCTATGGCGATGGGAAGAACCTTGATCATCTGTCTCAATCCTTGATTTTCCACCTGATTTTGCAGTTTGAAAGCCGCACTTGCGCTGTTGTTCATGTTTGACGGGTTTCAATTTTTAATCCTACTCAACTCCTGAAATCAAAATCAAAGAAGCAAATTAAGTTGAATTTTAAATTGTTACGCAAACTGGGAAAGCACGGAAGAGTGCTAACGATAAAAATATTCATGTAATCAGTCGGGTTTAAATACTTGTAATGGAGAGAAATGCCAGCAGGTGTGCCGCTTCAAAGCATCATGTAATTCTGGTACAAATTGGCGACAAGATAAAAAACTTCCAAATTTGAGAGACCCGTCTTGGCGTTGAAAATTCGACTATTAAAAGACATTAAAACTTTTAGAAAAGCCTTGAATAAAGACAAGTGCGAAATTAAACACTTTTCCTTGAAATATGCAAAATATATGCAAATTGAAGGATCTGTATGAAATGAATAAAACGGATGAATCACTCAGTTGAAGAAAGACATCTACGGTAGTTGTGGAAAACTGCGATAAAACTGTGTTTGAGGAATGCATTACTAACAACAAAGGCATTTAATAAAATGGCAAAAATTACGAATTTGAATCTGAATTGCAAATTAAAGTTAACCTTGTGTTTGAAGTTTGTAAAAGTTGCATTCAATGTTGCTTTATCATTCGTCAGAATTGTATAAGTTGCAATTGTGTCTCAGCTTTAGACGTAATAGTGTACAAGTTGTGGTATTCGTATTATTCTTCTAGTGGTATGATTTTACGCTATACCCGCCTAATGTCCTATGTTTCCCCCACAGTAACTGATGTCCAATGCTTCGTCCTATAATTTCATGCCAGGCGAAAACTACCACGTAGAAGGCAGATATGACGACATTTCAATGTAATTAGTCAGTCTTGATTGTTTGCTGAATTTTTTTGGTTTGTTCAATAACAATTATTCAGCTATGTTTTTGTTTGCTCTGTGGATTTTCTGTGTGGTGCTTGATTTTAACACAAACGACTACCATCACATCGGTGAAAAAAAAACTAATAAAAGTAATCCATGGCAATTTTAACTCACCCGATAATTTTTGCCGATTAAAACCCTTGCCTATCATCCGCAAAAAACCTTTTTAAACAAAATGTACCTGTTTTCAAACTTTTTCGATGAACTTCTGACGACAGTCGACCAAAATGTTGATTGAATCAGTAGCCAGTTATGTGGTCAAAAACATAATCGGTAACATAGCATATCAAGCATTTTACATTTTCTGAAAAGAAAAAAAAAACAGCAAATTGATGTGGTCATGTCACAGAATATTTATCACAACCTGAATGTAAGATAATCCGATTCAGTATTTTATAGCTTCTTTACATATCCCGATGTATAATTATGATTAAAAGTTGTTTATCAGATTTCAAGCGACGGCACCCGTTTAATAAGACCGTGCACGTATAAATCGCTCTACTCTTTTTTTTCTTCTTTTTCTTCTACTTTTTCCTCTTTTTCTTTTCTTTTCTTTTATAGACATACGGTTTTCCGCACAACAAAGATATTTAACCTTTTTCTAACTTGATCCATTAAAGATTTCATAAACTAAATTTGATTTCGTGACGACATTACGGGCGCTTTCCATTTAGGAAAAAAACCCGGAAATTTCGGTGGTGGCAAAAGTGAAATTTCCGATTGGTAAAAAGTTGTTCCATTTGGTCGTAAACCCCGGTACGTGGCGGTGCCTGACCGTGGACCTGGAAGTGGTACAAACTACGAGAAACGTAAATGGAACACGACATTCCGTTCGGAAATTCCAACCGGGAAAACGGGACCACCTTTTTAGATTTTCCACTTTTTCTGGGAATTTTCCAGTGGGACGAACCGACGAAACGTGTTCCATTTACCGCCGAACCGGAAATTCTGGAAATTTTGACTAAATGGAAAGCGCCCTACGACTTTTATATGATGACGGCTGGATGGGAGAAAATATATTCTTCATTGGGCGGCGTCGCAGGGCAACACAGAACATGTTTCAGCTTTGAACTACTTGTGTGCCGAAAAAAAACTTGACATTAGTAAGCCGCGCAAAAAACTTTCCTTAATCGTTAACATCAATTTTCGATAAAGGGATTGTTGCCGCAGTCCGGCTACTCTTTCCTTGCCTCCCACGCGGGCGTTAGGTGAGTCGTATTTCCTCCTTCCCCTAAATACGACTACGCAGAGCCTTTTAGTTTTCAACCTCCATCAATTTACTGTTAGAAACAGGTGACGTTGGGTTTTTCTTTTGATATCTTATAGTTGAAATGCGCTCATAGATGTGGCTGAGATTCTATTTTCGCGGGAAAACTGCCCTAAAATGTGTCTAAAAATAAACGGAGGCCTAGTATGGCAGTTGCTGGTAAATCTCGTATATTCCCTGGATTAGGTTACAATTATAATAAGAAAAAAAAGACTTTTTTTATAGTCTTAGAGAGAACGAAGTTTAAGCCCAAGTCTTGGGTACCGTTATGATATATCAGATATGAAGGCAGTTTATTAGAGTGTATTCGTAAATGNACACGACATTCCGTTCGGAAATTCCAACCGGGAAAACGGGACCACCTTTTTAGATTTTCCACTTTTTCTGGGAATTTTCCAGTGGGACGAACCGACGAAACGTGTTCCATTTACCGCCGAACCGGAAATTCTGGAAATTTTGACTAAATGGAAAGCGCCCTACGACTTTTATATGATGACGGCTGGATGGGAGAAAATATATTCTTCATTGGGCGGCGTCGCAGGGCAACACAGAACATGTTTCAGCTTTGAACTACTTGTGTGCCGAAAAAAAACTTGACATTAGTAAGCCGCGCAAAAAACTTTCCTTAATCGTTAACATCAATTTTCGATAAAGGGATTGTTGCCGCAGTCCGGCTACTCTTTCCTTGCCTCCCACGCGGGCGTTAGGTGAGTCGTATTTCCTCCTTCCCCTAAATACGACTACGCAGAGCCTTTTAGTTTTCAACCTCCATCAATTTACTGTTAGAAACAGGTGACGTTGGGTTTTTCTTTTGATATCTTATAGTTGAAATGCGCTCATAGATGTGGCTGAGATTCTATTTTCGCGGGAAAACTGCCCTAAAATGTGTCTAAAAATAAACGGAGGCCTAGTATGGCAGTTGCTGGTAAATCTCGTATATTCCCTGGATTAGGTTACAATTATAATAAGAAAAAAAAGACTTTTTTTATAGTCTTAGAGAGAACGAAGTTTAAGCCCAAGTCTTGGGTACCGTTATGATATATCAGATATGAAGGCAGTTTATTAGAGTGTATTCGTAAATGTTTCGGAAAATTGGTGGGTTAGTCTAACACTTTCAGTAACAGGTCCAAAATTTTCTCCGATCTTCAAACATGGCAACGATTGTTTACGAAAGGGAATTCCGCCAACGGCTGTGACACTTCAGCCGACAAACACGACTTAGAATTTGGAGATTGGTGAATACAGTTGACTCCCGATAACTCGAAGTTCGCGCGCGCTAACTCGAACCAAAATCGATTTCCCCTGGATTTCCGTCATACATATCACTGTAATTTTACCGTCGGTAACTTGAACCCTCGATAACTCTAACCTTCCGCTTACTCGAAGTAGTTTCTGTTTCTCCTCATATAATTTCTATATAATTTTAGCCTTGATAACTCGAACCATGTTTTGAGCCCTTACCGTATTTATTCGAATAAGCGCCCAACCTCGAGTTAGCGCCCACCTCGAATAAGCGCCCATCCTAAAGGCAGAACAAGACGCTACAGAGCGTACACTTCGGCGTCGTGGTTGTGGAACTGATTAATTGTAAATGCGGAGGAATAGTAAGAAATGAAATATGGTAAGAGTAAGCTGTTAATTTGTCAAATTATGGGATTTGTCAGGATATTCTGAAAAGAGTAACATCCAAGAGGCCTACTTGCCAAAAACTAGCATTTCGGGACAAATTGTCTCTGAAATACTAGCCCAGTTATGCTCTGATGACTCCATACAAATCCTTCTAAATTTGACTTGAGTCTAAACGTTTAGACGTCAAATATGAGGTTGCTGGCGGTGAATAACAAGTCTAACAAAACAAACAATGAAAAAAAGAATTCTCTATATTTCTTGGTCACATCAGGCTTCAAAAAAAGCATAGCAGTCTCATGTACTGATTAAAGATGTGTAAGGCATGGGTAAGGAGTCAATTGCATTGAGCATGGAATTGACTAAAACTCAATGTTACGAGTTCGAATGTTTTGAGGATAATTATTCACTGACTATCAGCACGCAGGGATATCAGATTAACTTAAGCAAGTTTAATACCAAAGAAACATAGCCTTTACAGAGCTTTAAAACACAGCATCCGCCAACACAAACTTGACTTGAACTTAAGTAAAACTAAACAGCCTCTGCCAATAATAACAAACTCTCACTTAAACTTCAGATATCTTACGACTTCCGCCAACTTGTAAACACAGACCTTGAAAATCGACCTTCGTCACACTTGACTAAACACAGCAGTGCAGCTCGTGGGAAAAAACTTAGAAAAAGAATAAATCAAAGAAACCGAAGTCATCTCGAAATATCTCAAACTAATTTCGGCTCTCACTCCATCAAATAGCCGAATAAAATCGAAAACCTACAGACTTTGCGTGCTCAATCTTGTCAAAAAAGGCAACTTTGATACATTCCTGAGCGTCGCGAATCCTTTACTTCGTGCTCCGCCGAAGTAAAAAGTTAATAAGCGCCCAGCCTCGAATAAGAGCCCACCCCACCCCACCTCCCTCCCAATCCCACTCAAACTCTTATTTCCTGGGTGGGGGTGGGGACCCACTCCCCCCCCGCCCCCGCCAAAATTGAATAAGTCCTAATAAGAGACTTTCCCGAAGACGGAGGTTTCTTCAGAGTATTTTACAGTAACCTTGCTTTATTTTTACATCTTCACGTTTTGTTATTTCACATTTATTGTTTTGTTGCAAAATAAGCGTACTACACTTGCTGTAAATGTTGAAAATTTAATAAGCGCCCACCTCGAATAAGCGCCCACTCTCAAAGTCCAAAAATTTAATAAGCGCCCAGGGCGGTTAATCGAATAAATACGGTAATTATAATCAGTCGGGCAAAAGAACAGTCTACTGGCATTCGAAACATTGAACTTTGAATTTCCCATTTACGTGTTGTATAGTTTACTAGTGGAGGCTGATGTTGTTTGTCACAAATCTAAGAATGTGAAACAGCTTTTTATTACCTGTATTACTACAGTCAACTCTCTCATAGCGACCACTTCTCGTAAGCGACCACCTCCCGTAAGCGACCACCTTCACAGAGACTGTACAGCATTGAGCCTAAACGTTTTAAAACTACTTCACAAGTGGTGTCATTACAAAATCGTAAACTTCTTTATTACAATGGCTTATTCACACAATGGCTGAATTATATTGAAGTTGTATAAGCCGTCACCAGGTAACAAATTTTGGGTTGTACACTCATGTCCATGCGCGACCGAAGTGACCTTGAACAGCGTAGTGAACACGGAGTTGCTGCGTGGCAAAAACCGAGTGATTTTGTATATCAAGCTCAAATTTCCGAGGATTACTAATGTTGCTATGCTCTTTCGATATTCAAAGATGTTATTTTAATAGTTAAATCAGAGAATGATAAGCATGCATAAATGAGGCAAAAAATGTAACTGAACAAAGTTCCGCCTATTCTAACTGACTCAGTAATACGTCAATAAGACAAGACCTGGCTCCTGTTTCTGATAAAGCAAGTTTTTCTGGCTCCGTTAATCTCCCTTATCACGACTATATCAGCGAGTAAATGATCTGATAATGACAAAAACCTCCATCAGGTGTTCATTCAAAACTGTCGAAGAAGGCCTCTGGTACTCGTCAAGGTGGCAAACCCGGAAACTTTTTGTGCGTTTGCTCCAAACACCCAGGCGATAATATAAGCGGCATTTGCTGCACCAATGTACTTAAAAGTCGTCATGTTTCTCTCTTTCTTAATCTTATGTTTTGTCACCGGCTGTGGTTGACTAGAGTTGGGAGAGTTCGGTGTTGTTAGCGGACTTAGAGCTGTCCAACGATCTTGA